GAGAAAAGATAAGATAATACAGTAGCTAATTAAATGTTAAAAAAGCAATCTAGATATCCTGAGAAAATAACTTTAAATCCTGATTCTCTTAAATTATCTAAAGATAAAGATAAAGAAACATCCCGTTTCCCATAAGTAACCTTAATGAAGGTGACAAAGTCTTGGGATATGGTCATATGGATACTGAGTATGATGTCCAAACCATAACTTCTTATCATTGGCCATTAAAAACTACTTTTTATCAGCTACTAATCATCAGTTACTTTTGTTGGAATTCAACTCATGATGTTCCAAATGTTGATTAGCAATTTGATACGAAAACGAAGAAAGGGACATAAAAGGAGAGGATCAGAGAAAATTAGATTAAAAGAATCTTCATTAATCTACATACTTCTTCTCTGCACCTCTTGGTATATCTAGAAAAAGTGGTTGGCCAAACAACTCCGATTGACTATCCAATTAACTTCCTAACCTCCTAGTTAATTTTTTTCCCTCTTGTTCATAACAATATTCCCACTCTGAAAAACCCCTGTCCTCAAGGGTGAATATCACTAAAATAGAATTTAGATTACATTCATTGAAATTTGTGAAACCAGACTCAAGTAGTATGTTCACTAGCTTCCCCCAACACCAACACTTAGTAAGTTTAGAAACATCTGATGCACAACCTGTTGATTTTGACCCTTGCATCTCAAAGTTTCTACCATACCCATGCAAAGGAATGACGAAGGAATCAGTACTAAATTCCCTCCCTTGCATCTTTCTTTTGAACCCTTTGCGAACTCCCTGAATGGTCATTTTACTTTTACTAGCTTTTGTTGCTTCTAATTTTCTTTAATGGGCTAATGGCCACCCAATTTGTCAATTAAAAATGAAAAAACCATGGGTGTTGTCCAAATTTCTCAATCATTTGCATCGCTGAAAATGAGTGTGTAAGATACCGCGAGTATCGCTGATGTTTTCTCTCTGGGAGAATTACTTAAGTCCCAAAAATTTAAGATAATTACTAAAAATCTTAATGACAAATAAGTATCTGAAACATGTTATTTCCTAAACTTGTCATTACAAGCTGCTCAATTGTTATAGGACTTTTTAGTAAATATGTTCCTTCCATGAGACCTTATTGTGATTCTCTCTTCGTCTTTTTGCAGCTATCTTATTCTGACAAATCAGACTACTTATGAACTTGTGAGAAGAAGGAGAATTTCTTATCTAAGGTTTGATGAACCATGCTCCTCTATTATTTTAAGTATAGTTTATTGAATATATGAGCTATATGTATGTTGATGCTTTTTAAATTCCAGCTGAAAGATGTTAAATGGTTAGATGTCAACATGCTCGGGATAGATCTGGTAAACATCATTGTTTTTCTTTTGGGTCTTCAGGGCGATTCCGGAAAGAGTGTATCCATTTAGTAAAGGAATTTGTCGAAATTTATACAACTTCTGCTGTGCAAGAAGTGTGTACAGTTTGGAAGCACTGCCTAGCCCTCAAGAGATAGAGGAAAAGTCGATGCCCTACACATGCAAGGATGTTGTAACCTGTCGTTGTTGCTGATTTTGGGTCAATTGTTTTGCTAGAAGAATAATTCCGTGAAGTTCTTATTTTGTGCTGGAATGCGTCGATGTGCTTAGAGAACAGATTTACTTGACGCTGTTGGTGTTGGGTCTAAGATCGTCTATTTCTTTTTCTGCTCTTACCCATTCTTTCCCTCTTTTTTGGAGGTGGTTGTTTTCAGGTTTAGTTAATGCGTAGGTACAGTGCCAGCGTTTCTGTGAATGAGATGAGTTCCGCTGGGTTTTAGACTGCAGTCCCTGTAATAGAAAGTTGCGTGGAGGGAAATTGCGGGGTTGTCATCCTTGTTTATTTAGGTGTCTGATATACAGTGTTCTCGATTTTTGACAGTAATTTATGCATAACGGTTCCTAGGCGCCAGAATTTGTTGTCGATTTTATCAATTTTTTTCTAGGAAAATTGATTATAGTATAAATTTTAAATTTAGTTGGCCAAAATTTTTTTTAATTTAATCATAGGAAAGCATTGCTCTGTGAATGCAGAAGGAATTGATTGTTCATTAACATAAAAATTTTATGAAGTTATATTTATATTCATTTCATATTTTATGTTGTTTATAAATATTTTTCTTAATTTTATTATATATGTTTAGAAATTTAAGCAGCGAATGATGTTAAATCATTTATGCACCTAGCATAAATATCATGCGAGAGCCCCGCGAACAGCCTGGAGCAAACGCCATGGGCACGGCTTCTTCATCCTCCTCTTGTGTACTGTGACTCCAGGTCGTATCGGAAATGAGCACAACCGCTGATCAGTGATCACTAACCCTCGAACAAATCTCAGACATATCTTGAGGATGATACGATATTGGTATAGGGCCGTCGGCATGCCTTCATTTAATGGAAATGTCATCCAATCCGAATGACCATTAATTAGTTTGTTTTAAATATTCTTTTAATTATTTGTATTAGAAAGTGTCTCATTAATAATTAGATTTTTCCTTTTTAATATGTGCAATTTAATGTGCTATTTAATAACTAATGCAGGAATTTTAAGTTGCAACTTTCAATTTTTCAACACTCAACTAGCAGTACTATTTATGTGTACGGTTGTCGTGTTGTAGATGACTCGCCAAAATCTTCCTTGCGATTCTCTGGTGCCCTTCCTGCTTGCTCTTTTTCTGAAAGATTCTTAGATTTCCTAAAAATTAACACAAAATATTTGCGGTCTGCGTTTACGTGGGAAAGACAATTTATACACACCACGGGGTAATAGTGCTGTGCCTTTATTTTAAAAAATATCAATATCAATTGATCAGGGTGCACTTGTCTGCGCATCTGCTGGATATCTCTTGACAATTCAGTTGGTAATACGAGTTGGACTAGCAAGTCAACCCACAAAAAAACAGGTTGGAATTAGCTAAAAGTTAATCCGAAAAATTCCAACCTGCTGGAAGTAAAGCACCGTTCGGGGAACAAAATCTAGCCATCCAGTGCATCCAACGATCAGGAAGGGAAATACAATGCACAGCTCCGACTCCAAAATGCAATCATGGCCGTTGGTGTGGGAAATCGTTGCCGTCCAATGGGAAAAGGTGGGTTCATCTGGACGAGGTGCGAAGGCTTCGGCCGAATCAGAGGGGGTGCTCTCACTTGCAGCGTTGTTGCTCTTGTAGTTGCACCCCAGTTTGTGATGTGCCTTGTTTTCTAGCTGGTGCCCTCATAGAGGCCCACTTCTGGCCCTCTCGTAATCTCTCCAGAAAATTAATTACTACCACGGGTTTTAAATATAAAAATTAGTTAACTAATTTAAATAAATTAAGAAAATATATTGAGCTGATTAATTTATAATAAATAGATATTATCTTTCTTAAAATATTCTTACTAATCAAGTTTATTGGCTAGAATTATCATTATTAGAAGGATTATCTTAAGAAAAAATAGATCAATGTGAGAGACAAAATAAATTGGGGTTTTATATTTAGAATCAAAATAAAAATCAAACAAAATCTTATATTAAGAATATGAAATAGTACTCCTTCTGATCCTAAATATAAAACCTATTTTGTAGTGTAAATTACACTATAAAATAAAATAGGTGTTATATTTGGCACCTGAAGAACAGTACCACATTAGGCTTGGGTGCTTGTTGCTGTTCAGATGAGGGGACACGGAAAGCAGAGCAGGAGCCATCAAGCTGGTTCGCTGGAAACAAATAGACGGCCAGGATCTCTCACAGTCAATGGCGGAGTCTTCGTTGTGTGTCGTCTTTTTGATCGTCAGATGCATTGGAGGGCTACATTTCCCTGCTGATGCACCGCGGCTGTGAGATACTCCTCATGTACTTAATATAGGACTCAATTGTTGAGTTAGTTTTAGTCCTAAATATAAGATCCATTTCTCATATTTATCAGTTTTCCCTAAATTACCCCTATAGATACTCCCTCAATCATAATCAAGTACAAGAAGGAGGGGAGGTATTAAGAAAGGGGATTATAGTGTTTTAGGAAAAACGTGTCACATTTCTTATAATTAACTAACTTACCTAACTTCCTTAATCTAATTAAATTAGTTAAATGGGTCTTATATTAAGGACCGGATGAGTAATTTTTTTTTTTTAATTACCCACTCAGTTGACCGGAGTTTTATTCCGACTATATCTTGATCTTATCAGTATTGCGTACCTGGCCGTGATGGGTGAGTCTCCTAACAACGATTTCTGCATATGTTGAGGTTCAAACTCGAAACTTCGCTTAAGCGATACCAAACCACTTACTACTTAGCCAATCCTTTTGGTGGTTGTGAGATATTTAACTCAGGGCATAGTGGTGTGGAAGCAGTTGGGCCGAATGCAGGGCCAACTGTGATCAATGTTCGCCACAGCTTCCCTCTACTCCTCATAAACACGTGGCTCACGGATCCTCTCCATCTTCTGTAATCTCATGCCATGTGCGGTGCCCCATTTACTCTCTTCCTGCTGTCTGGCGTGCCCGCCCCGCGACAGTCATCAAAGGTGTGATTTTACCTTATCTTACGTGAGAGTTACAATTTTACCCGTGATTTCTTTTGCAATTTTATTTGTGATTTAAAAAAAAAATTTCGTGCAATAAATCGCATCACAATAAAAGAATCATGAGTAAAATTATACTGTTAAAAAAATAAGATATTAAATACACCTAAAACAAGCTGGTCAAAAAAAAAAAACACCTAAAACAAAAAAATCAGAAGAACTCCCAGGCGGATGGGAGGATGGCAACCCATTCCTTCAGCGCAGCAAGAGAGCGAAAGCCCCAACAATGATTGTCATTGCTGGATTCTATTTGTTTATGCAAGAACCATAAATTAAGCTAACCAATACCTGCCCCGTTTTTGCGGTTGACTTGAATTTGTATAGTTTAGTCAATGGCTCCATGCGCTCATAACGTGAGCAATGTTCTATTGTGTTTTCCACTGGTTGCATGCATTGTTGGTCGGTTTGTAATATTAAAAGGCAAAGTTGTGTATCACTCATAAATCTTTGTACAACTATCAGGGATAATCTACAATTGCATCAAATTGCAAGTGCTTTCTTCTGTACCTATAGAGTTGATGCACATCCTGTAATTATATATAACTCTTCCTCATCCCAGCGAAACCGTATTCAGAAAGCACACCCGATTATTGATGAGATGCCTGAACAAAAGCCCCAGCCCATTCTCCAGCTTCTCAATCGCCGCCACCAAATCCTCCAGCCTGCTGTTGGCACACTGGATCTTCTGAGCCACGTCCGCATCCTGCGCGGGGCAACTCATCATCAGGTTATTAATCGCGGAATCCGCCTTTTCCAGCTCATTTAGTTTGCCCTCTTCACTGTCACTCAAGAGTGCTCCTTTCTGCATCAATCTCGACAACAAAGCCCACTTGCTATTGGGCTTTGATCTCAGGACCGGGGAACACAGGAAGCTCAGCAGATGATAGAAGACGGAGCCGGTGACCAGGCTTGCTTCCGTGAGAACTCTGACGACCGCGGAGAGATGGGCGTTGAGATCCAACGGCAGAAATGTTTCAAACGACGCATCCATTTGTTTTAGCAGCAGAACACATTTTGTGGAACTCTTCCTGGCATTCTTTCTGAGATTCCAATACGCGGAGACATGAGCATCGAGGATGCCGGAATCTCCCAGCTTTCTCCTTCGCAGAGCGGATTGAAGACGACGGACGCCTTCTTCCATGGACAGAATGGAATCCCTGGTGGTGCCGAGAATGTCGAGGAATCGAACGGGACAATCTAACAAGTCATCGATCCATTTCTGAGGGTGATGCTGAGACAAGGCTTGCTGGGTGAGAGGCAACTGGAGGAGATCGTCGAGGGACTGATACAGGTCGGCGAGGGCAGAGAGAGCGGAGCAGATGGAGTGGACGGAGGGAGAAGAAGAAAGAAGAGATTTGAGGGAGCTGAGGCGGTCTTCGACAAGGAGGGTGGTGGGGTGAGATCTGGGAGGCAGACTAATGGATCGAAGCCTGAATTTGGAAGGAAGCTTCGGTGAAAAGGGAGCCATGGAAGATGGGGAGATAGCGGTGGGTTATACGGGACTTGTAATAATACATAGGGGAGGGAAGCGTATTGGAGAAGGAGGAGGAGGAGACGAGAAGGATCCACAAGCAGAGGCGATGGCTGATGGGCAACAATAAACGTGGAGTGACTCTATATACAAAGGAAAAAACATGGGAAGGGGGTCCCTTGCAGCTGTGGGGCCATCCCCTCAATTAAAATAAAGATGCCAAAGCAGTGTTTGACCAAAAAAAAACAAAGAAGCAAAAGGCAGCGAGATAGAGTCGTGAGGTTCTGGTAAAAAAAACAGAGAGAGAGAGAGAGAGTGATGAGGTCGCATCTGCCCCCCGCAAAACATCCATCCCTCCATCCTCTGCTTTTTATTCCGTTATTATTACTGCAATAATGGAATTTAAATCCCCTAAGATCAATTTCATGTATCTCTGAAAACGTGGCTTGTGCATGTGATTTAATAATTACAAATAGGAACCGCAAAATACTCTTTTGATCCTATTTATAAGACAAAAAAGAATATAAATTTTAATCCTATTTATAGGACACCGAAAGAAACTTTTTGTATAGATATACAATTTTACTCTTTATTTATTATTATGTTGACTTTATTTATATATATAATATAATGTGTATTAAATAGAGACAGAGTTAAAAAGTTATTGAATTTTAAATTAGAGTTAATGAAGTTTAAGGTTTTTTTTAGCTTTGTGTGAAACATATTAGAAGTGACTTATAAATGAGACTAGAGGAATACATTTTAAGTTTGAATTTCTTCATTATTTATAACTTATCTTTTAAAATTTTTATTGGAGATTTCACTGAACTTAAATCCATTTTTTAGATTTAGGCTGTTTAAATAGAAACCAAACCATAATTTTATAAGTAGTTTTAAAATAATTAAGTATGTAAGAAAAGTTTTGTCTAGATTTACATGAAATTATTTTTCAAAAGTGTTTTTAATGAAAAGCAAATACCCTAATCTTCTTTTAAAGAGAGGGAGGAGGGTTGCCGAGTCTATTTCAAAGCATGCGGTGCGTACGGTATTTTTTAAATTTGTGAATGATTTGTAATTATTATTATTATTATTTCCCAAAAAAATGTGGGGAGAAGGGTGGAGCTCACCGTTTATTAATAATAATAGGAATGTGAATTGAGCAACAAATGCAAAGGGCGATCCATGCCCTCTCGTCATCTTGAAAGCGGACGGGGAACCCCCTCTCCCAATTATTTTAGGACGGAATACATCCGAAACGAAGAGAAACCGGAATAAATCTCTTGCCCTGTTGTCCTCGTCACAGAGGGCTTAAACAACATCAAAACAATTTCTCTGTAAATCTCTCTCTTCTTAACACGCTACAACGATGTGATCTTAGTTATAGCGTGACAAAGACAGCTGTTTAACATAAATTAGGATCTTATAGTGGTTAATATAAGGAAGAACACAATTTCTGAATTTTATTTTCTTTTCTTTTAAGGGAGATTATCTATCTCCCCCCCCCCCCCGGCATCTCTTTATCCTTTTCATTATTAGATTCTCCTCTTTGGCTTATTGTCTCTTCCTATTATCATTATTATGTAACCATGCCTTGTCATCGCAATTTCTTATTCGTTTATTTCCTCACGAGAAGACCACGGAGCTTTCGAAATAAATAAAACATGGCCCCTGAATATGTGAAGGCCGGCAAATTAAAGTATTGCCATTGTGTTGCGATTTAATCTCTTCTTTTAATGGAAAATACAAAAAAAAAGAAGAAGAGTGAAGTTATGTTGGGCCGTCGTTTTTGTTTTGTTGTGGGATTCTCCAATAGTGTTGCTTTTGTAATTATACATACGGCCGTGCGCTTGTTACGCGGCAGAGCCAAGACTTAATTTAAAGGTCGGGGATAACATATGCACAACACACACACACGTTTTTGGCATAAGAGCACACAATACATGTATAAACATATAGAAGCAAAACAGATGGGGTAAGGACAATAAAGAGTAGGATTTAAGAAGCAGAGAGAAGGAGACAAAATATCTTTGGATTGTTGGCTTTCGTAGGTAGGGCACTGTGCACCAGCTCCAAATGTTGAGCAGAAGCCACCCACCACCCCGCCTTTAAACGTCACTCTGACTAGTACAGATTTATGGGGAGGTGCCATACATTCTCTTTGATTTTAAATATAAAAACTAAATGATTAACTTGTATAAATTAAAAATTTTAATTAAATCAGTGTATTCATAAATAACATATATAATATTCTTCTAATATATTTACATTAAAAAATCCCGTTCTTGTATATTATTTTTCTAAAATATTTATATTAAAAAAATCCCGTTACTGTGTCTACTGTGTAATAAATAGCAACAATTTAAAAAATAAAAAAAAATATATTAGAGTCTTGTTTTTAAAATTACTTAACTAATCTTTGTATTTAAGAGTTGAGATTAGGGGGAATATCTCTGTCATGTTCTCCTCTTCTTATTATTCGATGGGGTCCACATGTGTACCGTGACGCTTTTTTTCCTTTTTCCCCGGTGATAATATGGGTCGTGACGCTTTATTTGACAATACGCAATCCTTTTTCGCTTTTACTTTTTTTGTTTTTTTGGGGTTCATTCCAAGATTGATTCTGGAGAGGTGCTCGCTACAGATGTATGGGTCTCGCCTGCCTGATTCTGGACCGGTGTATCCGCTGCTATGTTGTTATTTACATCAATCACTTTTATTTTTTCCCCCCGCATATTAAAAATTGTGTTAACTTAATAAAAATTTTTGTTTTTATTCTTACTAAAAAAATATTAAAAAAATGTTATACATTTTCTCTCACTCATTTTCTTCCAACTATTTAATAGGGTAAAATTGAAAAAAAAAACATTAATTATCTTATAAACGGTTTGTATTAAGAAATAAATTTTTTTCCTATAAATAACTTGTATAGTAACAGAGTGTTATAATTAAACAACCCAAAAATGATGCTTACTCCATTGAATTGAGGAATAATGTGAAGAATAGACCAATACCACGGGTGTGGGCGCCATACGCAATGTGGTTTTATTTATTTATTTTTGTTGTTGTTTTATGGAAATAAGAGGTGGCGTATGTGATAATAAAAACAGAGGAGAATTAAATAGGCAGAGAGCATGCCAGCACGGAGGTGCCTTGCTCTGAGCGAAAGCAAAGTGGGGAAAGCGTGAGCAGCCAGGAGCTTAAGGTGATCCCAGCAGTCACTGGCTGCTTGACACGTGCACTTTTCGTTAACATGATGGTGCCAGGATCTGGGGGCGTTGTGCGCCATGTCATCTCAATCAATACCATTATTATATTACTCATTCATTGTTTATAACTCAAAATTATTACTCCTCCGATCCTTAATATAAGACCCAATTCTTGAATTGGTTTTAGTCTTAAATATAAGATTTATTTTTCATATTTATCAATTTTCTCTAAATTATTATTATGGATACCCTCTCAACCATAATCAAGTAGAAGAGGGAAAGACGTATTAAGAAAGATGATTATGATATTTTAGGAAAAATATGTCACTTTTCTTATAATTAACTAACTTACCTAACTTCTTTAATTTAATCAAATTAGTTAAATGAGTCTTATATTAAAGATCGGAGGAGTATTATTTTTTGGCCCAACATAAATCAAATTCAATCTCAATATTCTTTCCCGCCTACGAATCAACACGCACACGTGCGCACACAAATTTGTAGTTTCTGAAGTCGCAGCGGTTCTTTTTGGACTACACAGAGCACATGCATGCATGGATGCCGATTCATAAATCCAGTGAGTTTAATGGAGGAGGCCCATTTTCTCCAGCCCAAACCTGGCCTATTAAAAAGCCCACTCACAACGACCTCATCAGGAACAACTAGGTCCCCATAAAGGCCAACACATGAAAAAGAATTGCATTTTCATATATTTATTTCTAAGGTTCCAATCATAACACGACAGATATTCATATTATTTAAAATATGAATTTTACATATTTTAATTAACTATTTGATGATTTGATCGTGGTGATCGGACGATCTCCCGTGGCTCTAGATTAATGTGGTACGGCTAGGGGTGGACGCAAGTGTGAGGTACTGCATTGGCATTCTAAGCAGCGTTTCCCGCTAGCTGAGGAAGCCGGCTGGAACTATTCCTGCCAAAAACAAGGGACCTACTTCACATCCTAGGAGTTAGCAGGTAGGATGGAGTCCCCTCTCTGTCTGTCTCTCCGAGTTTCTACTACTAAGCAGCACTTCTGCTATTCAATCATAGGAAAGTAGCTACCAATCTTTTACAAACTTCCTCCTGAGAAAGATCCCGCGTTTCCGCGTGAGATAGTGTTACTGACACATAAGGCTTCAGCGTGCTTCTTTCATTCAGTCACACAGGGGGACCAAAGGAAGAAGTGTCCAAGTGCTTTCTTATCTTAAAAAGAAGCCAATCCAAATCAGTCTTTTTTCTGAAGCCTTTGATTCTCTTCTGCTACTACTACTGGTGGCCATGCCTTTGAATTCTGTCCCAATTGAGGGGACCTCTGCGGGAGGCGAGTCCTTGCCACCTGGTATGATCTTCCCCAAGCTCCTCATAGTGCTGCATTCTGAGGTAGTATGATAGTTTGCTGAAAAGTCAACTTAAATTTATCCTTCCTGCAAAAACTTAAATGGTAATTGAAATGATTTATTTTATTTTCTTGAACTTCTTCGGTCATTAGTTTAATTTGTGCGCCCTGCTGACATTTGATCCGTATATCACATGGTCCGGACCAACGATTGAATCCGTATAATTGAAATCCTCCATAGATTAAATGGCCAAAATAATCGTTGCGTAAAACATTTGATCCAACGGTCAATAAATATCGTTCTCGACCCGTTATGCTTTTACAGCAACCTGTGCATGCATTGTGGCGTTGGGGTTTTGACCCTCTCTGTTTCCCGAAGTGAATTCACTGGTCTTTGTTTGTCGAAAGAAGAACAAAACTGAACTTGTAATGAGTAAGACAAGAAGCAATTATCGAATGCTCTCCATACATG